CCCTACCCACTATTATTCAACATAGTTTTGGAAGTCCTAGCCACGGCAGTCAGAGAAGAAAAAGAAATAAAAGGAATACAGATTGGAAAAGAAGAAATAAAACTGTCACTGTTTGCAGATGACATGATACTATACATAGAGAATCCTAAAGGTGCCAACAAAAAACTCCTAGAGCTAATAAATGAATTTGGTAGGGTAGCAGGATACAAAATTAATGCACAGAAATCTCTTGCATTCCTATACACTAATAATGAAAAATCTGAAAGAGAAATTAAGGAAAACCTCCCATTTACCACTGCAACAAAAAGAATAAAATACCTAGGAATAAACCTACCTAGGGAGACAAAAGAGCTGTATGCAGAAAACTATAAGACACTGATGAAAGAAATTAAAGATGATACCAACAGATGGAGAGGTATACCATGTTCTTGGATTGGAAGAATCAATATTGTAAAAATGACTCTACTACCCAAAGCAATCTACAGGTTCAATGCAATCCCTATCAAATTACCAATGGCATTTTTTACAGAACCAGAAAAAAAATCCTAAAATTTCTATGGAGACACAGAAGACCCTGAATAGCCAAAGTGGTCTTGAGGGAAAAAAACGGAGCTGGAGGAATCAGACTCCCTGACTTCAGACTATACTACAAAGCTACAGTAATCAAGACAATATGGTACTGGCACAAAAACAGAAATATAGATCCATGGAACAGGATAGAAAGCCCAGAGATAAACCCACACACCTATGGTCAACTAATCTACGACAAAGGAGACAAGGGTATACAATGGAGAAAAGACAGTCTCTTGAATAAGTGGTGCTAGGATAACTGGACAGCTACATGTAAAAGAATGAAATTAGAACACTCCCTAACACCATACACAAAAATAAACTCAAAATGGATTGGAGACCTAAATGTAAGACCGGGCACTATAAAGCTCTTAGAGGAAAGCATAGGAAGAACACTCTTTAACATAAATCACAGCAAGATCTTTTTTGATCCACCTCGTAAAGGAAATAAAAACAAATATAAACAAATTAGACCTAATGAAACTTAAAAGCTTTTGCACAGCAAAGGAAACCAAAAACAAAACGAAAAGACAACCCTCAGAATGGGAGAAAACGTTTGCAAATTAATCATCAGACAAAGGATTAATCTCCAAAATATATAAACAGCTCATGCAGCTCAATATTTAAAAAAAAAAACAACCCAATCCAAAAATGGGCAGAAGACCTAAATAAACATTTCTCCAAAGAAGACATAGAGATGACCAAGAAGCACATGAAAAGCCGCTCAACATCACTAATTATTAGAGATATGCAAATGAAAACTACAATGAGGTATCACCTCACACCAGTTAGAATGGGCATCATCAGAAAATCTACAAGCAACAAATGCTGGAGAGGGTGTGGAGAAAAGGGAACCCTCTTGCGCTCTTGGTGGGAATGTAAATTGATACAGGCACTATGGAGAACAGTATGGAGGTTCCTTAAAGAACTAACAGTAAAATTACCGTATGACCCAGCAATCCCACTACTGGGCATATACCCAGAGAAAACCATAATTCAAAAAACACATGCACCCCAATGTTCATTACAGCACTATTTTCAATAGCCAGGTCATGGAAGCAACCTAAATGCCCATCGACAGATGAATGAATAAAGAAGAAGTGGTACATATATACAATGGAATATTACTCAGACATAAAAAGGAACGAAATTGGGTCATTTGTAGAGACGTGGATGGATCTAGAGACTGTCATACAGAGTGCAGTAAGTCAGAAAGAGAAAAACAAATATCGTATATGAGCGCATATATGTGGAACCTAGAAAATGGTACAGATGAACCAGTTTGCAGAGCAGAAATTGAGACACAGATGTAGAGAAGAAGCGTATGGACACCAAGGGGGGAAAGTGGCGTGCGGTGGGTGTGGTCGTGGGATGAACTGGGAGACTGGGATTGACATATATTCACTGATGTGTGTAAAATGGATGACTAATAAGAAAATAAACAAGTAAATAAACATTAAAAAAAAGAACATGTAAGGTTATAGAAAAATGGAGAACCTAGGAAAAAAGACTAGAGACAAAAAGAAAGATTACATTTCAAAAAAGACAATGTTGGGTTTGAGCAGGGATCTGTTGTGTACATGTGTGGGTTAATTAATACTAGAAAAAATAAATATCACAAAATAAGATAAGGAAAAGGTGATATCGATGGATAGATATGAAAATGGATAGATGAATCTGGGGATATAAAGTGGGGTCAACTGCTGAGCTGGCAAGAATGAGAACTGAGGATTGGCCAGGGGGTAGTCTGTGATGAGACCAAACTTTGGGGGGTCTCAGTGGAGTCCCGCGAGAGTCAAAGCAGTGAGCATGGGCTAGTGTTTTAAGGAAAGATTGATGAGGACAACCACTTGAAGGCCAATAGAGTATTTTGTGATTGTTTTTGTTTGCTTACTTTAAGGTAGGAGATGTTGTATGGAAAAGGGAAAAAGCAAGGGAGAGGTAGAAATTGTAGATGAATAAAGAAGAGGTCATTAGGAATGGGTTCCTGAAGGGAAGAGGGAAAGGTGAGATTGGAAGTCAAGGTAGAAGAGTTAGCTTTGGCGAAGAGGACACTTCCTTCTCAGGTTCTCACAAAAAGGCTGTGGCATTTTTGGATGTAGGAAGTACATTTTTGGATGTAGGAAGTACATTTTGTACTCAACACTGAGGAGATATTTAGTAAAATACTGCAAAAAAAAAAAGCTGGCCACAAATCAATAGAGTTTCTTTTCTTTTTTTTTAAATCAGATAATGGTATCATATGTTCTCCACTGAGTGCAAAACCAAGAGAAATGAATGTCAGTCAAGATATTATCAAAGGAAATTACCAATGCTATCCCTTTTTGGAGTTTTTCTTGAAAAGGACATATTTGAACCTGGCTGAAATAGATTGATTACGGTCATGGCCTCATGTTATTACTGATGGGCTGGGTCAGGTGACTCTGGAAAGCTACATTTCAGGCTCAAAAGACTGAATGTGTGAAGGCATGGCCAGGCTAGACAAAATCAGAGGGTGCTGTTTTTTCATGAAAATAAATGGATTCCAGGAAACCGGGATTTTAATTCCAGTTTGATCACTAATTAGTTCCATTTTTTGGACAAGGATTTTAACTCTTATAAGTCTTAGTTTCCTTTTTCACAAAATTAAGGGTGTGGTCCTGACAGCTAAGATTCTCTTAGCCTTAAAAATAAAATTATTCTAAAATTGTGCAGTATATTGGCTATTTTGCTCATGGTAAAGTCATGGGAACTTGCTTGAATTTTATGAAAACATTTTGTATGCTATCTGACTAATTTGGAACATCTGATAACTTTGAAAGTATTATAAAAACTCAATTGATGCTGCATGGGTAGATGCTAAACTTAGCATCTTTCTAAACTTAGAAAAGACTAAATCAGATTCCCTTCATATTAAATCTTTCTTTGCCTGTAAGTTTCCTTCACTTGGAAGCTGCAGTAACCCAGGCACATAACCATTTGAGAAATTGTTATTCAGAAGCATTCCACTTCCTCTTGGGAATTGGAAGAGTTAATGCAGTTAAAAAGTTTGACACAGCTTAGACCTTCTTGGGTGTCTAGTTTTATGGTTTTAATAGTCACTTTAGCCCTCCAAATAAGTCACTTCAAACTATCATTTTAGGCAGAAAATATCAGTAATTGAAGTTTGGTTGAATTAATTATCATGTGTCATTTAATCATTTGAGTAGACTTCCCTACTAGACTATGAACTCCATGGAGATAGAAATGTGTCTGTTTTTGCTCATCCATGTATCATACCCCTTGTAGTTACTACAGTGCTTACACATAGTGCCTGCTGAGTAGATATTTGTTAAATGAATGAATGATTTGATTTTACTTCTACAGAGTTGTTAGGCACTAAATATTCATGATTCAAATATTCTTTTCCATTTGAAGATTTGTAGGCATAAACCACTTTATATTTGAAAGTGATTGTATAAAACTACAATCTTGTACAACAGCATTTAATTTTGAAGAATGTCTTACTCGAGACTTTATATGTCCACTTTGGATTCTGCCTTGAACTCTCTTCAGATTATTGAGCCAGACAGATAAAACATGGAATAGTCAGACTAAAAGGTACAACATTTATTAGGAGTAGAAGAGTGGCTGGAAATTCAGGAAGTGTTTGCCTATTGGTGCCTTTCTTTAGTCATTTCTTCAGAAGGGCCCCAATCCGTTGTCTTTCTGATCACGACTTCTTTACCTACTCTCATCTTCCCCCTTCTTCACATACAGATTTCTCTTTTCTTCATCTCTCCAACAGCTGTCCTATTTTCCCTACTTCACTCAGTATATTAATTACTTCTTGGTCTTTTTTCTTTCTACCCAAATGTGGAGGGCAGGGACACCATTTCAGCATTGTTGCCTACAAGCTCTGTGGAATTGCTGGTGAATATGACCCACAGTTCATTCTTGCCAATGGAGCTGGAGCCCTTCTCAACGAAGGACCAGGACTCCACCATCTTTGCACCACTTAAATCCAATTTGCCGACTTCACCGATGTGTCCTGTAGTTCTTTACCTCATCACTAGGTGATTCCCTGTTCTGATATCTCATTGCTGTTGTTCCAGTACCACTTGCCTTGATGTTGCAGTAACTTTGGGGCGACGGGATAAAATAAGAGGTGTTCATGAATGTGATCTGGGACTTAAAAAGAGTGTGTATGCATTTATTCAACAGTTATTGATTTGGCACCCATGGTGTGCCAGGCATATTACATAAGTGGAGCAACCATAAGGTAGGTGACTCTAGCTGGTGTTAGAGTGGATGGGGCTTGGAGCAGAGATCATCCTTCCCTCTCCCATCTCTTGTGGTTATGGCCAGGGTGCCCCATTACTGGCAGTTTCATGTGGGTCTTTATGTTGTCTTTCCAATGTGCCAGTTTAAGGATTTCTGACAACCACCTTTTTATGCTTATTTTGTGACAGATGATCCAAGAGAGCCGGTTTCTCATAGAAATGGCAGACACAGTCCAGGAAAAGATTGTGCAGTGTCAGAAAGCAGGTAACCTTCCCCCCTTGCCCCCATTTCGTTTAGAAACCATAATGATGATTTTTGGCAGACTTTTAAAGTTTAACTATACTTTGAGTTACACTGAAGCCTTTGTTTAGTACAGAAGAGATCTACGTGATAGTAGGTAGGTGGTCTTTGTGTATATAGAGGGGGTATCTGAAGATGTCTAGAGAGGTGAGGGTTTCTGAATTTACTTTTGTGATTTGGGAACCGATCAAAGCCTTTTTATTACTGATATGGAAACTGTGGTTTCACATTGCCCCTTAAGAAACACTATATTTTTACAGTTTGAACCATAATCTTGTTAACCTTCTAGGCTTTTGCCTCATTTACTTGTCCTCATTTTAGATTTGTTCCTTCTTTAAGGGTGGGATGGGTCACATGTCTCTGATGGCACATTGCTGTGTTTATTTACTTTCACTTCATCCACACCCCAGTACTTTTATCTCTGTTGGATCCATGTTCTCCCTGATCCACACACACACACATTAGTGATTGCAATAAGGAAGATGACACTGACAGTTGCTTGATATATATGTATCTGATACACTAAGCACATATGCTATGTTATTTAGTCCTCATAACAACTCTGCAGTGTAGTCATCATTATATCCAGTCTAGAGATGAGGCATCTGAGATTCTGAGAGATTGAGCGAATTACCCCAAATCCCATATCAACACGTGGTAGAGGTGACCTTTGAACCCAGACCAAACTTTGAAAATGGTGCTCTTCGCTACTGATCTGGAGGCTTAAATGTTTCCATTGACAGGAAGCACGAAAATAATAACAATACGAAATACTTATATTATGCTCCTATGTACCGTGCACTACTTTGAGAGTTTTGTATGTGTTGACTCATTTAATCTTCACACAGTTCCATGAGGTCAATACTCTTGTTATCACCATTGCACCATTGAGGAGACTTAATGGCAGAGAGTTTCAGGGATTCGCTCATGCTCACGTAGCTAGTCAGTGGTAGAGCCAGAGTGTAGATCTGGGCTCTGCAGCCATGCTCTTACTATGTACTGGGCTTGTGATGTTAGCACCAGAAAAGTTAATGTGGTTTTAGGCTTCATTAATACAAGCCTAGTCACTAGAACTAGGAAGGTGATGGTAAAACCTTATGTCATGTGGGCAACTTCAATCCCATTTTGAGAACGATATTCCTGGATGTCATCCTTAAAGAGAAATTATAATAAGCTGAAACATGTTAGAATGTTTAATCTGGAGAAGGGAAAACTCTAGTAGACTTTATCCAACATCTTTCTTCAAATATTTAAAGGGCTGTACTGTGGAACAGAGATTAGACCTTGTTCTGAGGCTAGCTAGCACCAAGGAGTAGAAGTTTCAGGGAGACTGGTTTGATATCAGTCACAGCTTTCCAAAGATGGAATGAGCTTTCCAGAAGAAAGTGTGATTCCCATCTCTGAGGTGCTAAGACAAAGACTTAGGAGAGAAAGATGATGGTGAGGTTTTTTTATAGTATTCAAGCTTGGGGGAATGGTTTAGCTAAAAATAACTTTAAGGCCATTCCCAAATCTGACACATTTGGGTGTTTCCAGGAATGCTATTTTAAAAAAGCTTTTTATTTTTACTCAACGTTTACTAATTACCATTGTTATCTATGTGGGCTCCAGGCCTACTGTCAAGCCATATGGATGGTTCATAAGGCAAAGTAAGATATGTGCATCCTTCACATATGGTAGCCATTCACACATTACACCATTTTATATAAAAACCAGGCAGGGAACAAACAAGATGGATGCCACCTGTTGGAAGAATTTGCTTCTTAACTTCTCATGTCTTTGTCTATGGCCCCTTGCTGTTTAAAATCTAATTTAATCTAATGCATTGATTATTTTTAGTTTCCCTTTAAGGATAGCCATTTGGTGGTGATGAACAGAATGAGAAGGAGAATTCAATTTTGGGATTTAGAGATTATGAGAAGGACAGAAATGGGAAATTATATTTTTACTGATAATATTTTCACAATAAAATGCCTGTTTTTCTGAAATTTATACGAAGAATTCTCTTATGTTCTCTTTTTAAAGGGATGGAGTTCCATGAGGACCTTCATAATCTGGGGGCAAAAGAAGGCTTGAAAGGAAGAAAACTCAACAAAGCAACTGAGAGCTTTGCTTGGAACATTACAGTACTGAAGGTAAATGAAGTACTCAGGTGCCCCTTTGTCTTTATTTTTCTCCTCATCTCTCCAATGTGTAGAGAAGCATCAGTGGTTAAATATGGTGACTTGAATTTTTAATTAACACTTGACCTAATTAATTTGTGCTCTAAGTGACGGGAGATGCATACGGGGATTAACACACGGTTTGCCATAATAGGATAATGAGTTTTGTGGTGGAGGCAGAAGACAGCACGACCTAATTCTATTACCTGGTGTTTGTGTGTGTGTGGTTTACTCATGCTTCTAGTCAAGTCAATATGGCTGTTCTGGTTTGTGGAAAGAATAACACAAAATGTTGCTGGAGAAGGATCCAACACAAGTGACTCGGAAAAGCTTTCAACTACAGAATATCTGGAGCCATTTAGGATTATTTGATTTTAGGAAGAGTCTCTATAAATACATTTATTTTTGCAAAAATTTTGGAAGTCAGTTTTTTGAGATTATGATTTGCTCCACTGAAAACTAATTTTAGGACTTCAAAGTAAAGATGCCACTTTTCATATTTTGTTACATGAACGGACAAATGGTTTAGGCAGTTGGAATAGCTTATTCTTAGTGTGACGGAGAAAAACAGCTACAAACAAAATTAATAATCGCTGACATTTAAAGAACACTGCTGCGCCAGGCACTGTTTTACAAGGTTTATATGAATTAACATTTTAATACTTTCATTAACTCAATACTGTTATTATTCTCATTTTAAAAGTGAGAAAACCAAGGCACTGAAAACTTATGTATATTACCCAAGGTCACTCAGCTAGTAAATGGTGGAGCTGGAGTTTGAACCCAGGCAGTTGGCTCCAGAGCCTGCTCTACAGAGAGCACATGTTTATGTGAAAGTGCTAGGTGAACTGTAATACATATCACAAATGTTTATTAAAAATTCAGTCCACAAATATTTGTTAAGCTCCTACTATGTACTGGGCTCTCTGCTATGCACTGGGAACCCATGAAGAACAAAAGCGACACAGACCCTGACCTCGTGAGTTAACAGCCTGGGGGCAGGAGGTGGGGGGGCGGGGAAAATAGGTGTCATTTGCTTAAGAGGCAGGAACTATAGTGTTAATATAAAGAGGAGCTTGTTTTATAATACCTGAGTACAACATGGCAGTGTGAGCCCTGATACAGACGCTTTCTATTCAGCGTGTTTTTATGTGGGCTCATTAATGTGCTGATCACTGAGAAAGGAGCTACAGACACAAATATCAAAAAAGTAATACCTGGGCCTCCAGAACTAGTCTACTAGGGGAGACAGACATGTGACTAATAGCAGCATTACTAATAGCAGCCATTATTCAACACTTCACATGTGACAAACACCCATGACTAAGTAGTTCATGTATGTTTCCTCCTTTCCTCTTCACAACAACTGTGTGACATTGCAGCAACTCATGCTGACCCTCTCCATCTCACAGATGAGGAAATTGAGGCTCGGGAAGGCTTTAGTTTCTTACCTTCAGCTAGTAGATGGCAGAACTGAGATGCTATATCATGCCCATCGTTCTAACCACTACCCTGTCCTCCTGCCTCCTGAAAGACTCAATCCACGTGACTGACTCCAGGCAGCCTAGTACAGGGGTGAGGGCACAGGCTCTGGGTGCAGACTGCCTGATAGCTGTGACGCTTTGGCCAAGTTATGTAGTCTCTCTGAGGGTGATAATAATACCTACACCCCAGGTTTTATAAGAATGAAATGAGATAATACATATAAAAATATCTAAGTCACAGTGCACAAAACTTGACATTATATCTATACCTATACTATTATTGTATATATATGCTATTACTTTTGCCAGGGTGAGGATGACCATTGGGATAAAAGTCTTTTGGTTCTTCTTAATTTAAATTTAAAAATCGACTAATTAATTTTTTTAAATTGAGGTATAATTGTTAGTTTCTTTGTTAACTTCTGACTGAAGCCCATTCACTGTTTTCTGAGGTTTGTTTGTGTGTTTGGTTTAGTGACAGGAGCTGATTGCTAGATGGGGCCTAGCAAATGCTGTACAAATCATTCTCAGACAGATCTTTTGAAACAGAATCAATCTTCTATTATTTTAGCTCATATACCAGCTACTAGTACTTCAGCTTGAGCACTAGGAACTTAAACAAGAATAGTGAACTTCTCCAAACTTCTATTTCCCTTCTCTCCCCCATTGCGTTTAGTGGACCTGTTAATTATGTGCTCTTTCCCCAAGTGCTAAACAAATGACCTCCTTGGAATTTGAATTTTTAGCTGAGGCACAAAGAGACCAGGCTTTTTTGGAGGTTGTGTACTCTAGTGGTGCCTCTCTGAGAAGAGCCTCCTCTCTAAGGCTCTTCCTTTATTTCTTGTATCTTGGATCTGAAGTTCTTAGTTCCTTCTTTGTTCTCCAGTCTTCCTATTGATTTTCAATCTCCTAAAAATGCCCTTTTTCTTAAGTTTACTAGAGGCAATTTCCATTGCTTACAACTGGATGAATTAGTAACAACCACATTGGTAAGACATAATCACTGAAATAGTAGGATATGTCAAGGCTCACCTAAAAATTCTGCATTGCTTACTGAAAAGGTTTCCTTACGCACAATTTTTACAAGTACTCCTCGATATCTAGGGGAAGAGAATGATGATTGACCAATATTTGTCGAACATGTGCGTTCAAGTAGCTAAAATATTTAATTCCAATGCAATTTCCAACAAGTAAGGGAGGATCTACAAAAAATGAGAAATGTGTCCTCAGGAAAATGGTGGGTGGGCAGCATGGAGTGGTAGAAAGGGACATTGACTTTAAAGGAAATTGAGCTGAGACTAAAAAATAAATTCTTTAGTTTGTGTTTTCTGCAATTCAAAATTACATTGATCTGATATTAATATATGACAGAGAAGCTGGAGAAAAATTTTCAGAGACAAAGATGAATAGCTCTGCAATATAACAAACATGAATTATACTTACAGCGTCCAAATTTTCCAAGCTAGAAATGAGGATTTATAATCCAGTATTAGCACTATGCATGGGTCCAGAGTAGGGAATTGCTTAGCAGATCTTTTGCATCTCCCCACACTTTTGTCACATGCCAATAGCCAACTATTACAGTCATTTTCCTCCTCTTCCTTTCTTTCTCTTTCACTTCTGAGCATAAAATTGAAGCCTTTAAATAGCTTCTGTGTTCATTTGGGATGATATGATGATGCAGGTCTCAATGACTCAGTCTGCAATGTCTTTTCCGGATAATCATTGGACAAAGATAGCTCTATCTCATCCCACCCTCACTAATTAACTGTTCCTTCCATCTGTCTTTTCTCCATGCTGTCCTTCATAAAAGAGTTTTGTTTGGTTACTAGCATAATATTAAAACCTTACAATGAAAATTTTTCCTGTTCTTTACGTCTTCCAGAAAGAGATACTACAACTTCACCTGCACAGCCAGTTTATTGTAGTAAATTATTATCAACCTTGGAAGTATTTTGCTAACGAGAATTCTGAAGGTCTCTTGGAAAAGAGATATGATTTTATACTATATCACGGATAAAACGTAATGTATCATGAAGTGGAATTCACTTAAAATTTTGGACTCTATCCAGAATGATTTAATTCTTTAAGTACAAAAAGAATTTCATTAAAAGGTGGTCACACTTATAAAACCGAAACTAGTAAGAACCTGAGAGTAACATTTTAGTGAGTTTCCCAATATATATATTTCTAACTTGGCCTGTCGGCTAGTTTAAGGAACTAAATTCCATTATCTTAACATTTTCAAAAGTTTGATGAAAAAATCAATTCTCCAAGCTGGAGAAGTGTCCGGTAGAGATATATATAAAAAAAATTGAAGAAATATAATTAATAAACATTTTATTATAATGGAAAAGCTATGAAGTAGGTGATCACTAGAGCTTACAAATAAATAAAAGGGTTAAGAAGTGGCTGACTTCTTATTTGTTCATGAATTTCATTGATTACTAGTTGAATGACGTGTTAAATAAATTATGAATAGACGATTTCTTCATCAATGGACACTTCTATTAATTGATGTGTATCTATACTTTCCCTAGATAGATTTCCAGCTTATAATTTAATGCATTTCATTGTATGCCACAAAAAACTGGGTCTTTTTTATAGATTTATGTTCAGTAGATATGACTAATCTTTTTCCATCTAATTTTTTGGCTTTCCATCACTGCTTAAGCTTTGCTCCTTCTGTTTTTATCTTGACAACATTTTCATTTTCCTTGGGAAGAGCAGAGTCTAAAGCTCCTTGGGTACTTGTGTTTCTAATTCAGACAGATTCTCTTGCTCAGTCCCTAAATTTCAGGCCCTCACATCTCTGGGGAATCTTGCTACATAAGGGAAGTTACATGGATGTTAGTAATATGCTTTCTGATAGAGCCTGCAAACACATCTGAAGTCTTTGCTCATTGTTGAGAGGCAGGAAAAGAAGGGAAACAAGATTATGGGCTAATGGGAAAAGAAGTATGAGAAGAGGCATCCATCTCTGAAAGACTGAGTGACAGAAAAAATGGGGTCACCCTCAGCAGAAGGACCGTAGATATTTTAAATCATTCTCTGAGATACTGTGTGTGTTGGGGGGATCCAACCAGGCTCTACTGGTGGCCATAGTGACTATGCCCCTGGGGGCTGCTCTGAGGTTATATAAAGAAGGAACATGTCCAGGGTCCTCCATGTCATCCACTGAGAAATTCTCCAATGGTGTTCTGTCAGCTGCTGGCTGTTGTTATAGTAGAGGCTGGAGAAAGGCTAGGTTTCTACCTGAGCCAACTCTTTCAGAAAAGAACAGCTACTTATGAAGTCTAGAAACAGACCTCCACTGACAACAATGCATTCATAATAAAGTATTCTTCATGTTGATGTTACTATCAATTATTAAGAAACATAAAGTGGTCAAGAGTACAGACTCTGGAGCCAGATACTTTCTAGCTGTGTGGTCTTGGGAAAATTTCCTTTTGTCTCTACGCTTCTGAATCAATTAGAATATGCCAGCTT